GACCGCCTTATTCAGGTTTTTTGGACTAGTAAAACAACTTGATGAAAGAAACGATTGGAATGAGGTGGTTTTACGGGCTGAGACCCCACATCTCTCGGGGAACATTTAGAATTTGTGCTGAGTTTGAGCTAACTGATAAAAGACAAAGATTGACACCTAATACCTGGGGCTGATAAATCAATCAATTTTATTTTTTCTGAAGGAAAGTAAGCACATACTGGATCGAGTATCAAGAGCGAATCTAGTGGAAAATGGAAGAATCCTTTGCAAGGTATCTTAGCTGCATGTTGAAAACATTATACTATTCAAATTAAGGTTTATCGGTGGTTAATTTATCCCTCTAAGTACGTTGCCTAGTTACAACTGACCTAAATAAATGAAACAGTTGTATCTCTTGGACAGGTTTTGATAAGAGAGAGGAATAATCACTCACTCAATAATCTCAGGATAGTGGCAAAAAGATTCTGGAAGCAGCTCCTATGAGTCTAAGGCTATTTAACAGTATGCTCCGCCTCAAGACTCGCGACCAAGCTATTTCAACCATCTTCATCACAGAAATGGCTCAAGGAACTCTTCCTTTAGATCAATACAGGATGCTGTCTATTTCCAAAGTGTAGCTACCTTGTGCGGTAACGCTGCACAAGAAATATTGAAACGAAATAATTTCGGGTTTGCTGATTTTTACTCTAAACAGTCTGCGAAGATTCTGAAACTTCACAAAGATTTCGTTGACGAAAAAAAACCTAAAGGACTTGACATGGACTCAGTGGGTAAAGCACTCCAATCATACATGCGGTTCCAAAGTCAAGTAGAGCCTGAGCGTCTTGCAATGGTCATGCTACCGTGCAGTTTGCTGTATGCTGAGTTGGAAAAAACTGAGGTTCAAAATTCAATGGGCAACGTCTACGAGAAAGACTAGTTTCAAGAAAACAGGCGTGTCGATGAAAGTTCAACAGAGACATTTGTAAATGCAAATTTTAAAGTCAAAGGAGAAGTCCTTGCTCCAGTTTTCTGGTATGCAAAGTTACACGAGCTGAATTTCTTTCGAGAAATAAGCGGAAAACCTCCATTATCCTCAAAGCAAATTGATGTTTAAGATCTTTTAAGCATTATAACTTAAAATTTATCAATTTTAAGCCTCATGTAGATTGAAGTTATATATCCGCGAGGCTAACGCTTTTCAAATGTTCGTTTACGTTTGATTAATTTATTGACAACTGCAAGAAAACAACTGACTGGCTACTTTTGACCGAAGCATGCTTCAAGCGTACCCGATATACATACCACACGCACACTTGATCCACACTGGAAGTGACTACATCGTGGGATTATATTAGAAAAAACAAGCTTTAGATAATCATGATGGAAGGTTGATTTCCAAATTTAAAGATTCAACTAAGCCCTCTCTACATGCCACAGTTGCAATAGCTAATGAAGCTATTCAAACCAACTCTGTGGAAGAGTATCTGCTCTGCTCATCCTTTCAGTCTTAGCGATTCAAATGAACTAAGCGCTGCATCTCCTTTAAGATCTCTTTTTCGAAATTCTTCTCGGCTCTGAATACCATTTTAAATGAGAATTCTGAAACTTGAAAAAAAAATCAGCGTTACTGACTACCTATAAAATGTAGACACTCAATCAAAAATTGTGTTAACTTAGTTAAAAAACGTCACACATGGGTACCATTAAAGGCTAGCAAGTCGAGACTCCCCTTGCAAATTGTCATCCCACCCCGCACTGATACCAACCTCTCCATATAACATTCAAAATAATAAAATACAACGACACGTCATACCTTCAACACCAACCTAGATCATTAATGTTCTAGAATACTCACCACTGTGGAGCATAGCATCAGCTTCCTGACGCCTATTCACACCTCATCAGAAAAAAGACCGCTAATTAGTGATCATATAAAAGGACCTCTTGTTGCAGCGTTTAGATCACCCCTGATGAAGGCACGAGACAGGGGTGTCGAAACGTCGGGTCTATGAATTGTAACTTCTTTGGTTACATTCATTAAATCTGTAAACCAGAGTAGCATCAAATCATGTCTGATTGTTCACCTGGTTGCCGTCTGAACTTTAATAAATTCCTTCTTTATTGATCTTAGTACCTGGTGACTGACCTTTTAAAATTATTGACCAAAATTTATGGAAATCCGGTTCGCTGATATCTTCAAAATTTATTGCAACGATAAAAGCTTCTTCTGATCACCTCTAAAGTACTTTAAGCTGCAGTGCTGGGATTTAGTTTTTACTTGGATCAATCAATTCAATCTGATTTGCGGTTTACGATACTTTTGGAGAACCTTTCCTAAAGAAAAAGGAATTTTCTCTAATAATGAAATAAGAGGAAAGAAAAGCCATGCATTCATCGCGCAAATGGGTGCACTTACAAGAGTGAGACACAAAAGAACCCTTTTGTAAAAATGGACTTTTTTAGATTCCTTTTCCTTGATACGACCATTTCTCAGAGTATTCGTTGGTACTAATACCGAAAAGGATGAAGATCAAAGTAACAAAAACAATTAGCCTCTGCCAATAGTTTAAAGCTTTATTGTTATTTGCCCGACTAGGAATTCGAAGAATGGATATCATTATAATAAAGTTCGGATACAACGCGCGCTGTCATTGGTTGAAAGAGCGTGGTCTATGAGAGTATAGAGCATAGAGCTGAGCTAAGGCTGTCACGCCATCTGCCAAATTGTACTATGTTCGACCTTTTCCGGAACTTCTTTTTAGCTTTTTTTCGATAATTGAAAGTGAAATTTCGAAACAAGCGAGCCGGTAAGTAGCAACAGAAGAACCAAACAAAGGTTTGCAAACATACCAGGCGCCGTAATTTACGTTATTAAAACGTGAGCAGATACGAAAATCCTCAAAGGAAAAAACAAAATAGGCATTTCGAGTTTTAAAGATTTTCAAGCTTACGTACGGTAATAAAAATCAAACACAGCTAACACTCGTATGGTATACAAAGTTCAGTGTTCAAAAACAAAACAGAACAAAACAGAAATGATGACCAAAATATAACCAAACTGGCATAACTGTTAAAATTCATACTAATCATGACGGTGTCAGAGCGAATATGATCATGCTAAAGTTCATCGCGGCTCGCTCATCATGGCGATCTCCGGTCATCGCAGTAAAGCAAGCCTCGGAAACTACATCGACCGCCCTTCGAGTGAAAAAATGAGTTTGCTCTGATATCCTGATAAGTCACATCAGTCACTGCAGCCGAATTTTGCGGCGCTGTCATCCCGAGCGATCTTCATGTTCCGGTGAATTCGGCTGTCGTTCATTCAAAAAACACTCGCCTTGAACAGTTTGTTTTCTACCTTGTCATGTGAAAAAGCTCACGTGTTTTTATGAGCCATAATTCGGCTGAAGTTCACTGAACATTTCACTTTGAGCTTCTGCATTGGAGACTTAAAAACTTTAGGCAAAAATGTTAAATTCGACCTGCCGAACTATTTTAGTTTATAAACTATTGCGTAATGTGAACTTTGATGGTTTTTTAACTTTGATGATCTAGCATTTTTGACAGCTGTAGACTTGTACAGCCAATCAGATTATTTGAACAATTCTAACATGGATTCTGATTGGCTTATTGTAATGTGCTTTATGGAGCACATAAATTTATAGAGCATGCTGACGACACTTGTTCGCTTTGAAAATAAAGTTCGTTTTGAAAATTGAAAGTAATGCTTGGGGAATTTAACGGATACTTTATTATAAAACAAATAAAGAAGCCTTGACTGTGCTCTGTTCTGTTGTAAAGCACGTAGGAAGCGCCTAGAGCACTCTTTCGTGCTCTAGCCGCTTCCTGCGTGCTTTACAACAGAATAGAACACAGTCAAGGCTTCTCTATTTGTTAATTAATTCACGAAAATACATTATACTGCATAGGGAAAATTTAAGCCATTATGGTGTTACACTTTAGCCTAACCCTACCTGTAATTGCTGCTATATCAAAAATATCTGAAACTTCGAAATAGCATAAAAATTTTTTTAACCATAACCTGTTGTCAGAACAATATGTTCGATTGTTTTTAATTAATTAATTTTTTAAACAAATTTTTAATTAATATTTTAATTAAAACATTTTTAAAATTATTTTTATTATTTTAATCAGTTTTTGAAACAAATTTGTTCAATTATTTTTCTTATGATTTTTTCAATTAATTTTTTAGCATTTTTTAATCAATTTTTTAGTTTTAAGCATTTTTATTCATTAAAAAATTGTTTAAATTATTTTCTTTAAACAACTTTTTAAATTAATTTGTAATTATTTTTTGACAATATTTTGTAATTATTTTTTGAACAATATTTTTTAATTAATTTTTTAATTGAAACATTTTTAAAATTTATTTTTATTTTTTAATCAGTTTTTTGAATAATTTTGAAAGAAATTTGTTCAATTATTTTTCTTATGATTTTTCAATTAATTTTTTTTAACATTTTTTAATCAATTTTTTAGTTTTAAGCATTTTATTCATTAAACAATTGTTTAAATTATTTTCTTTAAACAATTTTTAAAATTAATTTTGTAATTATTTTTTGACAATATTTTGTAATTATTTTTTAAACGATATTTTTCATTATTTTTTGAATATTTTTTTACATTAATTTTGTAATCATCTTTTGACAGTTTTTAAATAATTTTATTTATCTTTTGAAATGTAACTTTTTTAATTGATATTTTTAATGATTTTTTTAATAATTTTTTTGTGGGGTAACACGTTAGCCAAACACAACTTGCATTTGCTGCTAAATATTAATATCTGAAACTTCGAAATAGCATAACCTATTTTTAATAGCCTGTTGTCAGAACAATATGTTTAATTATTTTTTTAAATCATTTTTTAAACAATTTTTTTAATTAAAAAATTAAAAATTATTTTTTCAACGATTTTTTAAAATAATTTTTTAAAATTAATTTTTTAAGCAGGTGGAATGATTTGATATATCAACATAAATAGATTGAACAAAAGAATTACCTTAAGTCCGTCGCAAACTTTTACAATGTGTTGAACACTCGCTTCGAGCTCCAGCACGACTCTTCCAGCTTTCCAGTACTGCTGTGATCGCCATCTATCACTCCTTCGTACGTAGTCAATCTGATATATACTTATTATTATTGATCTTTAAATCAAAGTCTGGAACTACCTCACTTCCCCTTTCCTTTTGACTGAAAAACTCTACCACATTTCAAGTAAGTTGCGATACGAAGAAAGTACGTTTTTGAAAAAAACTTCTCCTCGAGTACTGAATTTTAAGAAATAACTCCTCTACCCTCAGTTTTTATGTCACACTGATTGCGGTAATTACGAACAGTACTATGTTGGTGTTACATTTTCTTAATTCTTTAATGACAACTCGTTTCACATCTGTATCAAAAAAAAAAAGAAAAAAGAGAGAGTTTCTACGATATCAGGCAGACAACGATTTAAATTAACTTGAGACTTGAGACATTTCAAAACGAGGAGAGTTTTTACAATTACCCATTTGAACACGTTCCCCTATCAGCTAGACGTAAATTCGGTGTAAGGTGTAATGGGTGCGACAAAATAAGCGTCCGAATGTCCACTTTAACATTGTTCCTTTGTTGACTTTGTTGAATCAGTTTATACGTTTCCACTCATTTACAAATTTATCAATAATTAAATTATTCAATGACATCCTCAACATTCCTACATGGGAAAAAAAGAATTATCTCATCTCAGAGAATTCGCCACAAATTTTCTAAGGAATAGAAATAATTCAAGTGTCGCATTTGTCCCTAGCCAAACAGACCGGACAAGAATGTTGGTAAATAATCGACAACGGCAACATCAGTCAGAATCAGGGATCTCATCGTAATAGCTAATACTCAAAGAACTCCAATTTCGAATTTGAAACTTATCTAGACACAAATGGATCACTGAATCGTACTGCCTTATGATTAACTGACTGAATACCCCACGACAGTATTAAAGTAAGCGACTCTCTAAGCACTCTACTGAACAGGTCTTAACTCATGTCAGTTTATTTAGATCCTGCCTTCGACGACCGCACCAAGAAAAATGAAGACAACAACCGTTTGGTGTTTGGTAATTGCTATCTCAGTGTTAGCCGTTACCGTGTCCTCGAAAAGTAACTCCAATGGTAGATACAAACAATTCCTATGTCTCTTAATTGATTGCATGCGTGATTTTATGGTATCTGTTCGTTGTGCCAGGTCTTTCGTGGGAGTTGTGTTAGAATTCGTTCCCCGCGTCTTTTAGTCGTTCATGTAGTTGTTTCTGCGAAGAAAAAGACACTTTTAGACTTGTTTTTTGGTCGCACAAATTGACTTATTGTGGCCTGATTATCGAAAGATTCGTCTTTAAAGAAGTGTGTTCTGGTCGTGGTTACGTACTTCCTCTTGACGTGCGTCACGGTCGTTGGAGTTGATTATGCGTCGCGTTTAAATAAAAAACGTGTCGAAGAACTTGTTGTCATACCTTATACTCTAAGCGCTATGTCTGGTTGTTGCAAAACTCATCTAGTATGACCTCATGGTCTTCAAAAGGAAGTTTACAATCTTTGTTGACTTCTCTCAGTTCACTAAGGAAATTCAACCTACACCAACTAACGTAAGACAAGCTACCAGCGCTGTGAGATGACAGCATAACCAGAACAGGCTGATGAAAACGAGCTGCCTTAACCAGCGATTCGAAACCAATCAATCGCAGCTAACGAAAGCTACGGTAAAAACTCGCAGATAAGAACCTAGGTTTTTTTTAAAGTAAACCTCCGTACGTTCTTAGACAAATGGTGTTTACAGTGAAATCAGACTACCTAGGTTCTAAATCAGGTTCTTAATATTTGTTTAAAGGAGGTAAGCCTCTATTCGTGGGTGTATGCCAACCTCATAGTGCCCTGCTTTACATGGTTAGTTAGTCGGACATGTTTCACAGCTATGGATGTGTTGACAGTACAGTATTGTGGTCTTATAACACTGTCAGTGTTTAGGCCAATTTTCTTTGCCCTTTTTGTATCGCACATGATGTACTGTAATATGTTTGAGAAGACTCTGTATCAGAATTTTGGCCTAGAAAGGATCTGATGTGAAGGGTGAAGGATGCTTAGCTGGGAAATTTTAGCCAAACATGATTGGTTAAATTAATTAATGTTAAGTTGTTCAATTAAACCGATGAAACTACCTTATCCTTTCTTTGCAATATTGGAACCGATTATGTGTGATTTTCCTTCAGAGGAATCTCCAAATGGGAGGCTTGGTTCGGCTATGTACACTCAGTGAAATAATGTTGTTTTGCTACTTAAGACTAATATTCAAACCTTACTGTTCGGGAATCAGCTCCAGAAAGACTGAAAATCAGAGTGCATCTGGAATAAATCTAAACGTACACATACTTAGAAAGCGGCGGTGTTACAAACCGCAACCAAATAAATGTTTTAAAAATCTTTGTTCTTCTCTGTTTCTTTGGAACAAGAACGTTTAAATTCGGCAACCGTCCAGCACCATATTCATTAAGATGATCATCAGTCTTTTTAGCCTATCCTACCACTTTTTAGTCAAACGCAGGTAACCGTTTTATACCATCGATGTCGTCTAATTCTGCTAAATTATATCTTTACTAAACGGTTTACAAACAATACGACCATGAATAACTGTTAAGTTAATTTCGATGTACTTAGCTATAGTTCGAAGAAGCTTGATGGAGTTGTACCTTGCTTTATATACGAACGACTGAGCGACTGGTTTTAGTTCTTCTTTATTTTAAGTATTCTGCAGGAATTCATGCTTTTTAGTCTGTAAGTTCGAATAGAAAATCGCCTTCATATTGTTTGGGAATTATACTCACAAAGGCAATATATGAATAAATTGGCGTTGTTACATGACTTAGAGAGAGTCTTTCAGGCATTATTCTTACTTCTGCGTATGCTTGAGCGAAGCTCATTATTGCAATGATCACCCTCAAGCATCTTCACGATTTAGAGAGTAACTGTTTTCCATCTCAGAGAGTTAGAACGCATCAAATGAAAAAAATGCTATTGTCTTGAATGACACTATGTTCATATGTTTAATGTACAGGTGTTTTGCCAAGAGTGTTGGAGAAAAGAGCTTCAGGTAAGAAAAGCCTTCGGTGATACAAATATTGTAATGTTCTGAGTACTTTGCCGAAAAGGCCGAACAGTAGAATTGGCTCTGGCGCAATGTGTCATCGGGGCCAAAGCTAGACCTCAGAGGAAGAGTGAAAAGAAACATTTGGGACCCGTTAAAAGGAACTTCGTCACGGTTTGTCTATCTTGAAGAATTAAACCTTAATTATTTCATGTTTAGCAATTTACATTATCGTGTCCCTCTTTAGTGTTTCTCTTCTTCATGGTGAACGATTATTTACTGAAGGTTTATTGCCAATCTGCTGGGACAATAAAAGTTCTTCAAAATTACGTGACGTAGCTCTTTATATGTGTGGACATATGATTAAAACCGCATTATTTACTTTCATCGAAGATAAAGGTGGCTTCACCGTCATTCTCAAATACAAACATTGACATTCGAAGAATTTCCTTACATCGCCTTCCGGTCACAAAGTTCTCTTTATTAAAAACGGGAAAATGTATCTTCTAAAGCTATCCCTTACATTCCGGTGTAAAAAAACATCACTAAACACACCTGGATGTCTTATTTTACATATCGGTCTAACTTCAGGCAGAAGAACTCACTTATTCACTCTGCCTTATTGCTTTTCCAGATTTTTGTAAAACCCATGATCCTGGGGTGCACGCTGATCCTGATAACTGCTTTGGTTACATAATGTGTGACATGGCTGGTAACACATATGAAAGGCCATGTCCTCCGGAACTTATGTTCAATCCCGATCTACTCGTCTGTGATTGGCTGGAGAATGTCGACTGCAAGGTTTAAACCGAGTAGGATCCGGTCCCCCTCACCACTGGTCAATGAAGACGTAATATTTGAATACTTAGATTACGTGTAATAGAAACATTATATCCTCAAATTAAACATTGACCATGATATGATGATGCAGATGACTTTTTATGAAGACCAGCGAGTATCAGAGGCTTGATCCTAGATTCTAGTTAATTCCCAACGTATAATAGATCGACTTGTACTTGCCCGGGCAAACACGCCCAAATGAAATTCTCCAACCTTCAAGGTAATATTGTTATGATGCTCTTTTAACAAGCTTGAACCTTCAGTCTAGATGAAAATATGCGATTTCCTGGACTTGAATTAATTCATCGTTGATGAAGAAAAGATGAAACCGAACTTCATATGACAATTTGACCTTTGTTAGCTGGTATACAGCCGCTCCCTATCCTCTAAAAGAAAAGGGAACGGCTTTAAACGGACTTACCAAAAGTTAACAAGCTCAGGGATGAAAACTTAGCCAAGGGGATTTGTCTACATCATTGATATAAATCGTTCATCTGCCTCAATAATTTTACTTTTTTATGTAGTAAAAGCTCTCCTAAGCGGATGCTGAAGTACCCACGGGAGCTTTGCCGCTGAGTTAACAATGAAAATCAAAGTGCTCTGTGAGCAAACTCGTGAATTGACACATGATTTTTTGGATTATGTTTAATGTTATCTGGTTTAGGGAATTTGTGGTTGATTGTCATATCTAGAGTACGAGCAGTAGTTCAGTGTTCGCTAATGTAGCAAAGAAACAAAGTAACGTTGGGATGAGAAGGCATTACAATTGAAATGATCATGCTATTACATTTGACAAGGGTGGATGATGTCATGTGTTTTAAACGTATATCATTTTTGTTTCTGGTTCAAAAGAAAAGATTGGAAGTAAATGTGGGTGAAAAGTGAAATTTACTGTCTATCATTGTAAATATTAGAAAATCAAGGCAATACTGTCTTAATGAAAACATTAACGATTCCCTTTTTATCAAATGAGATAAACGGGAACGAGTTTTGAGTGATATAACTAAGTCAAGACTGCCACCGTCATTTTGGATCTCCGCCTGGGTAGATTTTAGTCACGTGCTAGGCAACGTATAATCAATAACAAGATAGAATTTCTTTTCAGGCCTATTTATCAATTTTGTGGCGTATAACTTTCGCATTTCAGTACGTAATATGTATTTTGAATCTTCAAACTGTCTTGAAACTTAAAAGAAAATTGTTCTTTGAAAATTCACTGAAAATCGGTAGCTAAAATTGTTTGTTTAGGTGTTATTCGATTTTCGTGTTAACTTGTAATTTCGTCAGTCGCCGGCATCTTTTGTTGCTTCACACAGGAAAAACACACGACATGAAACGTAATGATCGATTTTATCCTCAATCTCACGCCATAACAGAAAAAGCTTTTGAACATCTGTAAACTCCGAGCTCTTCGCAGTAAGTGATATTTTCAATGAATCTTCGGATTGTTTTCAAGTTCAAGGATTGTAAATTACAATTTTATGTAAAACGAAGGTTGTTCTGTTATTTCAGTGTGAATCCTTGCATGCCTGCCAGTCAATGGCGCCGCTTGTTGAAACTAAAACGAAAAAAAAACTCTTTTAAGATTATCATT